TACACGTAGCTTCAGTGCAAATGGTAACTAAAATGATATTTGATTAAAAGCAACATACACCTCTATCCTGATATAACGCTGTCCTCGGGAGCCAAAAAATCTTACCGTGTTATAGGTGAAACCGCATTATATCAAACTTGCTTTGATCCACTGGAGTGCACAGCCCCCCCCCCCCGAAGCGCTGCTTTACCGCGTTATATCCGAATTCGTGTTATATCGGGTCACATTATATCGGGGCAGAGGTGTATTTAAAATAATGTAACTAAAGAATGGAAAACGTACCATCTAACAGTCTTGTCCTGCAGCTTTGTCATGTCATATAAGCTAAAGAGCAGTGGGCTGGGTGGGTACTTGGATGACATACCTTTAAAGAACACTTAGGTGGCAGCAGGAAGTGGTGTAGGAAATTTAGAAGGTGCCACGCTGTCTTCTCACTCAGTCAGTGCTAGGTGGTACTGTGCTGCTGCAGGTGCTGTATAAAAACTGAAGTGCTGACCACTCTTTTGTTTGTTAAAAGTCCCACAGCACTGATGTTCTGGCCAAATTTCCATTGGGGTAATTACATCCTGTCTACCTCAGTTCACCCTGAAGTTTCAATTGGAAAAGGAAATTCTTAGTTTCTTGTCCTAAACTGTTGTGTACAACGGCATGGTGCTACCTGTAAATGGTGGCAGTAAAACATAGGCCTTTGCTGGGACAGGTGTGGAATCACACCTTTCCAGTGGGAACAAAAGGAGGTAGTGTGCCTCTGGGATATGACACCTCCTAGAGCTCTCAGGGACCACGTCCACTTAAAGTTTGCTCCCTTCCATTCTTGGCCAATTCTGTTATTCAGGCCCTGGGAGATACGGGGACGGGAGGAGTGTTGTGTGGATTAGTCTCCACTTACTTTCTGGCCCCAGTGCTGCCAATAGGGGGTAACCCTGTAGATAGTTTGTGCTAGACCCAAGGACACCAGCATAGTATGGCCTCTGCACAGGAGTATAAGGAGGGGAGAGACTTTCCCTCTTCAGAGACATTGGACTGGGAGATGCTGGGTGATGGTGCTCACAGGGCAGCCCTTCCTGAAAAGTCAAAAATAAAGGAGCTGTGTAGCCTGTTGGTGACCCTGGGTGTTAATTGGGTGTTCATGTGATCCCCTGACTCTAAGTGACACTAAGTGGCTTCAAGAGCTGTGAACGCTATGAACAAAGCCAACCAGTTTTGATTCCCAAACCCCCTGTGAACCCAAAGCATCGATTTCACATAGCCCTAGTCATGACAAGCAGTGAACGGTTCCGTTTAAGGAGGTTTGAGGAAGAGAGTTATGATTCACATTTAGATCAAATGGATTTTCTTTCACAGTTGTACTGTTAATTAGTCATATTCCATAATGAGCTTCTGAGCACCTCTGAGATTTACCTCTATTTGAATGTAAAGGGACATTGGTTACAGTCTCAGCGCTGAGATAGAATTGTTAAACAGTAATGCTAGAAATTCTCAGTTCTCTCAGCTTCGTATCCTACAGGCTTATGTCATAATTGCTTATGTAAGTCGCCCTCTAATTCCAGCAGAGGTAACTTTGGAGTCACTTACAAAGTTACATACGATTCTTAAATAAATCTTTGAAACGTAACCAATATCTTTTTTTCTACTTCTGTCTCTCGCCGTAAGCATTCCATGGTGTTTTCTTATTAGCCAAGAAAGGCTCCACATAATTAAAAATTGTCTAAAAAAATCATGGTTTGCTTTATGCTACTTATTAATGGTCCAGTGAGAAAACAAATTAAGTCACATTTCTTTTCAATTCTGTTAAAGGCAGAAAGAGTGATTTTTTTTTAAGCCTCTGTTTATAATTGCTTCTTGGAGGTTTCAAACTCTGAAACTTTTTTCCTCCTAAAAACCTATACGCACAAACACATGCCCTAACACCCCCAACACCACTAGTCAGTTGAAGTGTTGGGTGCTTTTTAAAAAAAAACTATTCCTGCCTTGGTGTCAGTTCCCCCTGCACTCCAATTCCACCCATGCACGGGCATTTACAAAAATTTGGCAGATTAGAAGAAAAGTCAAATTTTAGGTCTTTCAATCTTGTTAGAGTTCTTATGAATGTAAAAACACTGGTGGGGGGGGAGAGAGGAGGGGTCTTGTTCTGCTCTCACAAGCATGGTGTAAGTTAGGAATAACTCCGCTGAAATCATGATGCATGGTGACATCAAAATCAAGCCCAGGAAGTTTTGTGAGTTCCCGATTTTTAGGGGGGAGGGATTTTCAAAATCACCTACTTAAGAGCATGAGTCCCACTGAAAGTCAATGGGTCCTGTGCTCCTAGATCACTTACATGCTTTTGAAAATGCTCCCGTATTTTATTCTCTTGCCCTTGTTATACAGGAGGTCTGATTAGATGATCACAATGGTCCCTTTTGATCCTAGGAAACTGTGAATCTATGATTCTATTCTTTATGGACTCTCACACCCCCTTCACCATCTTAGTATCTGAGTACCTTCCAATAAGGCATTAAGCAACGTGAGTAACATCGGTCAGATGTTGTTCATTCTTTCTCTCATCCTCTCCAGAGGGGGAGAATTGTGTGTGCAGTGAAGTTTTTGGCTTCTGTAGGTTTTTTATGCCCATGCTGCTCTATTAGTGCTTATGTACCTAGCTCAGAAACATACTGCATTTAAACAATGACATTTTGTAAACTATCTGAGCGCATTTGTGCCCATGTACATGTGCATACAGCTCTTAATGAAGTCAATGGCAGGCGTGCATGTATGTGTGAGCATATGTATATATCTCAGGTTAGAATCAGATCCTGATTCTACAATGCAACCTGGCTACTTTAAATCTACATTAAATAATCAGGATCTCTCACCTTAAAAATTTCTTTCTACATGTGTCTTTTGTCCGCTTTTCAAAGACATTCAATAAAGGTGTGGGGTGAAATCCTGGCCCCATTCAAGTCAATGGGAATGCTTTGGGAGTATAAAAGGGAGTGTGGGTGTGTATGGGGGGGGGAGTGGGGAAGAAAGGGGTGAACTATAATTCTGCACTTTTCATCCAAACAAACTTTCCTTAGCTTCAATGAGAGGTTATCCTCAATAAGGAGTGGAGCACACAGCCTCAGCTATGCAATACTATGGGAACAAACTCAAAGGTTTCTGTCATGCTTGTGTACTAAGTTCTTTTCTATGTATTTTTCTAACAAAAATGTGTAAGGACAAATTGTAGCCTTGGCATTTATATCTCACAATGCTGCATGGCTTTGACCCTTACATGAAGCATGTGCTGCACTATTGAGGCAAAACAAGGTGAGTTCAGGCTTATTAGCCTTGACTTTGACTTTTTTTTTTAATTCTGTCAGTTTCTGTTACTGTTTTAAAGTTACTTAAACCTAGTTTCATTCTGGCCAAGGTCTTTATTGTATGGGAATTAGTACCTCTTGTTTGAATTTGCCATGTAACAGAATAGTTGGTTAATCCAAGGTTGGGTACAAACAAGCACTGAACTGGCCAGACTTGTTGACCTCTCTCTTAGTTTTCAGAAACAACACAGCAGTGAAGTTCATTTTTGGGTTTGCTTGTTTGTTTGTTATGTTTCAGATAGGAAAGGAACATTTAGGTCTAAAGGCCGTAACTGAAGTTCTCCAGGACATCCAGTACAAGGTGAGGAATTGTCTGAGGGAAACAGAAATACTTGACAGAGATGGACTGAATGGGGGAAGGGCAAAGAAGATAAACTGAAGCAGAGAGTACAGTATCAGAAATGTTTGTGCTAAGATATCATGTGGGAGCCATAATACAGTGGTCACCATTAAAAGTCAATATTTAACAATAAATCCCACACAATTAGTACAGTTATTTCCTATTCTGACTGCAGGGAAAGTTTTAATCTCATATACCAGTGACGGTTCACAAGTATTGATTTTTTTAATGATACCAATACTTTGTCAGTGTGAACTCAACCACCAAGAAAGATCTGTACTGAATGTTCAAAGAACCCCAGTGTCAGTATTCCCCAACCTGTCAGGTTTCAAGTTATACAAGAACAGAATATGCAGGCCGAACACCCAGGCAAAATCACAACTGCAATATGGCTATAGCATAGTGGAACCCTGTTAAGAAAGTCAATGAATTAGATATGGCATTGGAATAGGATTCAGGGGATCTGGGTTTTCTTCCCAGCTTTGACACTGATTTATTCTGTGACCACTTAATCAAGACACTTAATCTCCCTGTCTCACTGTCCCCATCTGTAAAATGGGGATAATGATTATAAAGGGCTTTGAGATCGATGAATGACAAGCACTGTATAGGTCTGAAAAGACAGAAGTATAGGAATTTTAGGAATTATGTATTATTATTAATTAATCTGAATTTTAAATCTTGTTTTAGTTGAACAATAACTCATGTACTCCAGGTGTAGCATTCATTTCTACAAACTATTATTTTGTGTGTGTGTTTGTGTATGTGTGTGTCTGAGAGAGAGAGAGATTGTATAGAACTCTTTATACTCTATTGGTAGCACAGATAAAAATAGGAAGATCATGAATGCTCACTCATGAATTCAGAGGGCCAGCATGATACATGCTTTGTGCATATATACATTTTATTTGCACTAAGCACATCAACATAGTCTTATATTATAAAGTGTCACACCCAAAAGTCACATCTTCAATTTCAACCCAACTTTGCCATAATCAAAAGAGATTAATGAGAAGTTTATGATAATATATTCACGAATACTTAGAATTGGTATATTACATGTTTTTCTAATAAGCTTTCCAAATCACAGAGTGAAGCACAACACTTCCTGCTCAGTGGGCCTGATCCAAACCCACTGAAGTCAGTGGAAGTCAATGGGTTTTGGATTGGATTTGTGTTAGGCATTTTTATGTGGGAAATACAAATCCAGAAGCTCAGGATTTGGCATGTAAGTGTAGGAAGGAACTGATTTTCAGCTGCTTTGTTTTAAAATGCATTTTTAGTTAATTAATTTTACTGCACCTGTTAATAATCTCTAGGTTCTTCCAATTTAAAATAAAAATTAAATCAAATGTAAACAAAGAACAATTAAAAGGATCTTCCTTAAAATGCTTCCCCTTTCCTTGAGCAAGGCAGCCACTGCAGAGATCCCGCCATCTGCTACTAAATAAAAACCCACATGCAACATATAACAAAATATTCCTCTAGGGGATAACCCTTCCCCCCCCACACACACACTCACTGGTAATTTTTACATTTATAAAGCATTAATGTTGGTGTAAAACACCTTTCTGCAAAACCCCCAAAAGCTTTGAAATTCACTTTTGAAAATCAAAGACATTTTCAATTGTGCAGTTAACTCTGTCCTTCGATGCACATGTTGTCATCCATGATCTCAAAGGCCACCTGCTATTAGAAATCTATGGGCAGAATTTGGCCCTTAGAAATAATGGAGTAAACAGGCTGTTTGGGACAAAGCTCACTTAGGGGCCAGTCCTTCAGTTCACTGCGTGCAGGCACGCAGCTTCACCTATGTGGAACCCCACTGAAGCTAATGCAGTGAGCTGCAGGATCAAGGCCTTACAGAGGGCTCCATGCCAAAAGGAGAGACTAAGCTAGCAGAGATCTACAAAAATGGGCTGGGTAGCCTTAGACAGAAAATATAAAATAAATAAATAAAAGGGTTGTATAGCTGCAAGGACTAATGTAATGATGATTCAATGGAGACTGTCATCAGTGATTGCCAGGGACAGAAATTCAAGGCTTACTGTGATGACAACATTCAAAGGCTCCTTTTTTCCCCTTCAACATCTTTTTAATGAGAATTGGAGATGAGATGGATTTGTATTGATTTTTCAGGGGAAGTCCAAAACAATACCCTGTTTTAATCCCAACTCTTTATTACCAGGTAGGTGTTGTTTCATATACAGCAAACCTTTACTTACTAGTGTAGATGTACTGTTACATATGTTACATCTGCATTCTGAACAGTCTAACGCCTTGTGCCACTTTATAAAATCCTGTTGCAACTCATTTTTTCCTGGAGAACTTTAATGTAGTTCAATCAACAGCAAAACTCTCTGTAGATCTGGACATGAGTGCTCCATTGACCAACAGTGGAGATGAACAGTGTCTGGCTATCAGCAATTTACCCATTGATTACCCATTATATTTCTCATCGTGTGGAATCATTGTTTCCAAGATTGCTGCCTCTGCCATGCAGTTGACAACCGTGATACTCACAGGAAGTCACAATTTACATCAGTGGCTTTTTTGGTCCCCTAGAGGCACAGACCCAGCCTGAGGTGATGTGGAGATACAGTGTTTCCCTGAGCATTCTAGTGTACCTGGGGCGTGTGGATGCCAGTACATCCTTTAAGATTGTACAGCATCCTCTACTCTCTGGCCAGCCAGCTTAATAATCTCTCATCCCTGCTGGCTTTTTGTGTTTTCTTTGTGCAGTGCTCTCTACTCCTCCAGGCTTCAGAGGGTAGATATGAGTAATTCTTTATACAGAGCTGTTTTTCTAAACAATTACTGTACAACGTTTGATAATTAATCCCCACAGCTCCGTTGGGCTTGATGTCAATGGAAAGCATGCCCCAAATGCTAGGATATCTACATCACACATGGGTAACAGAGAAGTAAAATGACTTGCTCAAAGTCACACAGCAAATAACTCTTAGATCAACAAAGACAAATAAGTGTAACCAACCCCATTGCAGGGTGTCATGAAAATTTGACCCCTTTTTT